GCCACGCCACGCCGCGCAGCCGGCCCCCGCCTAATAACCCACGCGGGAAAGGTGCCCCGACAGCATCTCGAGAGCCAGACACGAGAAAGAAAATCACGGCCCCCGTCGAGGCCGGAGGGCTGGGGTTCGTGTTTCTGCCCGCCAGCTTTCGTGAGTAAACCCGCAACGGGCGCCTTGCTGGAGGAAAGTTGTCCTTAGCGACTGAAACGGCGCAGAAACAGCCGACAGACGCCTCGCAACCTCTCTGCCTGCAAAACCACCCCTCTCTCTGCCGGGGGTTTCACAGCACTGCTCCCCTCTCCAGAGGCCAGCGAACAGCACAAGCATGGCGTGGACTCGAATTCAGCATTAGCAGTTGCAGCCCCAGTGATCCTCGCTAATTCAGAACACACACGGGATGGCGATCAACCAGTATTGCACCGTTCCCCCCCTACCCCAGACAAAAAAACCAACAGCAGCAGCAGCAACACTGAAATCCTTCTTTCTGCTGTAGGACGCTCAAACAAACCTCAGACCAAAAGTTTAAAAGAATACTCATTAACCAAGTGCTCCAATACACACAAGTAACAGATCTGTGTTAAGCGACCACTAGGGACTTTGCACAAGTTCAAAGAAACTTGCAATACGCGTCTTTAAAATACATCACCACCACCACGTTTCTCCGGGTTTATTTTACAGTGGGATGGCTCAGACTATCTCTACGATTTTCTTTTTTTTTTTTTAGCTACGCTCGGGTCATTCTTTGCAAACCTCTGCCTGGTCAAGCCGGCGGGACAGTTAACCTGAAAGACTGGCGGAAAGGAACATTTTCGGCGCACGAAACGTTTTTTCCCCTGGCCCTTTCGCCCTGTGGGTTATTACATTTCCTCAAGTCCCAACACTTTCTGCCTGGGTCCCGCCGGGCTCCAACTTTTTCTATCTCGCCAAACCCTGCAAGGTGGCGCTCTTTTCATTGAAAACTGATATTAGCCTTATAATAATAACATTTTGTAGAAAGTAAAGTTAAAGCGAAGCCTTCCCACGGGTGCTGCGGGGAGCAGACGGCGATGCCGAGCTGGCAGGAGTGGGGCTTCACCCGAGCAAGGCAAACTTTTTTTTTTTTTCGGGGGGGGGGGGGATGATGCTCGGGGGCGGTGAAAAATCTCCGAGGGAGATCCCCAAATGTTAGGGACAAAGCGAACTACTTGCGGGGTTTTGTTGTGAGCCAGGCGGGCTGTGCTCCGGGTGGGTTACAGCCGGCGCTGGGAGCGCCCGCACGGATGGGAGCGGAGCGCGGCTTCCCCCGGCACCCCCTCCCCCCCCGAGCGGTTAATATGGCTATTGACTCGCTGTACACATAATATTTCTTTAAAGAAGCTGTTAAAGTGTCATCTTGGTCTACTGGAAGGTCAGTTAGTGCAATTCACTCTATGACATATCACAAGCCCTCGCAGCTTTAGCCAACCTCATGATTTGTGTTGTCTGTTGATATGTTGTCTGCTTAATGGGGCGATCATGCAAGCTACAACCAGGAACAAAGCCCAACAGTTCCAACAACCGTAGCTAAGTTAGTGGAAGCAGTACAGCTTGCAAATCTATCAAACTAAACTGCAAGGAAGACAATCTGATTTAGAGAAAAGGCGTTCTGCTACAGTCATTAAGCACAAGTAATTTAGATTTTTTATATTGTCTTCTCATTTACAAATTTACTGTATCAACGCCAGCCAATGGAACGAATTTCTTAAGTAAATGAGAAATAAATAAAAGAGATAGAAAGATAATCAAATTACATAAAATAATTCTTATCCCCTAGATTTATTTTTTTTAGAAAGCTATTAACACTGGCAAAATTATAGTAATAATAATAACATAACATAAGAAGTAATTGATTTAAATTAACATCACGTTTTAAGGAATATCAGCAAAAAAAAAAAAAAAAAGGAAGGAAGGAAAAAAAAATAAAAAACCACCAAAACCAAATCAAAAAATATACCCAACAACAACAACAACAACAACAACAACAACGGCCTTCGTGAAACAGTGCTGTACTTCTTGGAGTAAAAGGCCCAAGGAAAGTCATGAATCCACTGCCTGAGAATTAGTTATGGTCATAAATGCCTTAAATTAAAATAGCAACCGAAATCTCCTCTGTTTTAAATCTCCTAATATATGTTATCCGAATTAATTTAATTTAGGGACCCAGTCTCTGTAGATTCATGGGCAGTGTTGGAGTAGAGTGCAGCACTTCTCGTGTAACAATTCCCCACATTAATATTTATGTAGCATATGCAATCTATTTCTGTTATTTTTATGGTTGTTATTCTATGTCTGCAAAGGTCATTTAAATTATACTGCGGCCGAAAATTTGTTTCATAAATTTTGATATAAATACTAATTACACACTATAGTAATGCCAGCAGGGATCCTTTCATTTATCACATTTATATCACCTTCGCTGCTTTAGTGATGACATAATGGAAAGCAGTGAAAAACTGGGACAGTTTTATTCTAATATCCTAAAGCTAGTTGGAGTTGCAGCAGGTTGACTTAGCGAATAAGAATTCCTACCACAATTCATGGGATTTAAGAATCTTTAATAAGGTACGAAATGTTACCAAACAGTTCTGTAAACTAAATTTTACATACCAATTCTTTTAGCCATAAATATTGAATATCTTGTAACATGTATAACCGGACCTTTACATGCGGATAAATATGGAAATTAGGATTTATATACATTATGTTCTTGTATTTGCCAAAAGCAACGGACAGATATAGTTTATATCTTTTTTTTTTTTTTAATATCACTTTACATAAACAAATGTAACAGTTTGACACGCAGATCCAGGCTTTCACTATACGAATTTCTTGACAGGACGTGTAACAACATTTTACTGCACTACTTAGACTGGACTTTGGGACGAAATGTTGCACTTTATACAAAAAAGCACATTAATACCAATAATATTCTGTTAGATCGACGTTTAGACTGTAATAATACAAAGTAATTCACATTTTGGTACACATTTACTAGAACATTCTTGCCATTCAGTACAAATAGTTGAATTTCTACCTCTTCCCTCTGCCCCCCCACCACCTCCGCCCCCCCGC